CACCCTGCCTGCTTGCTTCTCTGCAGCTTCGCTCCCTTCTGCAGCTTGGCTTTTTTCTACACTGTCTTGATATGTAAATTAACTGCCATATTGGGTGGATTAATTTGCATAGTTGCCCTGATTGGCTGGTAGGCATAGCAAAGGTGCAGTCAATTTGCATATTACTCTTTTATTAGGTAGGATACGGAATAGTATGCAGCTGTAAAAAAGAAGGATCGCTTACCCTATTGGAGAACATGGATGGACCTGGAAAATATTATGCTAAGTGAAATAAGCTAATCTGAGAAAGATAAATATCACATGATACCACATATTTGTGGAATATAATGAACAAAAGAATTGAATAATAAAATAAGACCTGAAGCATAGAAGCATGGAACAGACTGACATAGCTCAATATGGGTTGGGGGGATAAGAAGAGATAAACCAAAGAACTTATATACTTACTTGTGGCCTGGTGCATAAAATTTGTGCATGAGGAGGTGTCCCCGAGTCTGACCTGCACCCTCTCCAATCTGGGACCCCTAGGGAGATGTCCAACTGCTAGTTTAGGTCTGATTGCCCTAACCTCTCACAATCAGACTGCTGGCTACTAACTGCTTGCTTGCCTGCTGGCCACTGCTGGCTACTAACTGCTTTCCTCCTAATTGCTACCTTGCTGGTCTGATTGATGCCTAACTGTCCCCTGCTGGCTTGATTACCCCCAACTGCCCTCACCTGCCACAACCCACTTCCTCCTCTGGGACCCACCTCCTTTGTGCAAGGGGGTAAAGATGCCAAGACAGGCCTCCTCCATGCTGCACAGAGCTGTAGGACCCCCCAGGCCTGACCACTCAGAGTGGTATCTGGGCCCCGCCTCCACTGTGCACATGGCCATTTTCTGGTAGCCATCTTGGTGGTGGCCATCTTGGTGGCAGCCATCTTGTGACATCACATGTGAGGTCCACCTAGGCTTTTATTAGTATAGATATGCGTAGCCCATGGACATGGGCAATAGGATAGTTGAAGACCTGGGTGAGTGAGTAGGGCCTGGGAGGAGGAGAATGAAGGGGTGTGTGTGGGGAAATGGGAGATGTTTTTATCAATAATAAAAAATATATGAAAACATTCAAATAGTGAGAATGTCAAATAAACCTGAATAGGTTCATGTCCCTGAACCTATTCCTTTTTGCTTGGGCCCTTTCAGAGATAAACAATGTTTTATCCTTAATTTCTCTGTCTCTATTTATTAGGCTGAGACTTCGTAGAGAAGTATCGTACTGGAATTTCCTTCTAAAAAGGGAAAATAATCTTAGAATTTGACAGTAACTACCAGAATGGCCAATCAGGAGAATTAAAATGGCTTTTCAACAGATATTATTTCTCTTGTCTTTGTTAGTGCGGTCACTGAATCTGGAACTACTGACCAATTTCCCTATTGAATCAATTGCATCTTCTTTATGGGAAAATCTTCATCTGACACTGGAAGAATCCATAGTGCATCTCTGATTATGATTCAAATTGATCATTTAAAGCCTCTTTCCAGAATAAATAAATAAATATTCTATAAGAGGTTCTTCATAGTATAAAGCTCATGATAGAAGATTCCATAACTCAGGGTCTTATTGTTTCTTGTTCTAGTCCTTGTAATGCTCCCACTTTATCTGTGAGGATGAGGATGGAGATTTGTCTAGAATTTCCAAAAAAATAAGCAACATTATTATCTTTCTACACCTTGTTGTTTTTAACCCCCAAGCACTGCTAGCATCTAAATGTACTGGAAATAAATTCTTTACTGTAACAAATTTATGTAGTAATTTTTTTTTTTAATATTCCAATTAATGAAACTAGCCAATACCTTTTCACCTAGTTTTGGGAAGGAAAACAATTTACCTGGACAGTAATGCCTTAGGGTTTTACTGAAATCTCCTCTTATTTCTGAAAAATTTTCAAGACTGATTTGGATGATATAACTTGCCCTACAGGTTATACCTTGTTGAGAGATGTGAATGATTTATTTGCTTTTCTTCTCAGACCTCCTCACTGGACTCATGTACTTAAAGGGACACTAAGTCTCCAAAGAAATTTCAGTTTGACCAAACTCAGGTATGATATTTGAGATATCTAATATTGAAACAAGGACTATACCTGGATCCAAGTAAGTTTCATGGTGTCCTAGATTTCCTAAGTTTTTCCCAAGTTTTTCTTGGTTTAGCTAATTATTGCCAAAATTGGATCCCCACACCTCAGACGTTTACTAAAGAATTATAGTCCTGAAAAAATTTAATGGGAAGAATGGGATGAAATAGCCTTTAGAGTATTAAAGGAGAGTTTAATAAACGTACCTGGGCATCTTAATTATCAGATTCCATTTTTTCTTTTCTTTCTTTTTTAATGAAGAGGAAGAGAATGCCTTTGAGGTACTAATCCAAAAACCTGGGGATCACCATAGACCCCCTAAGATATTATGATCAGCAGCTTGACCCAGTGGCTCAGGGATACCCCCCACACCCATCTCTTGCCTTAAAGTCATTGATGCTATTGCCCTGTTGGTTAGGGATACAGTAAAAAAATATAAAAAAGTAACTTATGTAAAGACTAAAATCATTGTGAAAAAATTTTCATGCATATAAATCATAATGCAAATTACATTTTTCTATACACAGCAACTGTTTTTATTATTTTACAATGTTAATACATTCATCCCTTCCCCAACTCCATGAGGTAGTTAGTACCATATGTTTATCTGTATTTCACTGGTGGGGAAAATGAGGAATAGGGTATTTCCACATTATACTTCTTTAAAAAATAGTTTTCCAGATAAATTGTTTGGAAAATTATGTGTAGGAAAATAATTTAATGACAATTTTCACATTCCAAAGCATCAGTGACTTCTGTCATCTTTTATGTGTTATTGACCATTTTACTTTTGTGAATTTCCTATTTATATTCACTATTTTCATCAGTGCAGTTTTGACTGTTTGATTTTTTGTTGGAGATGTGTAATAGTTATCATTATACAATGCCTATAAAAACTTTTCTGTTACAGGATATATTTTGAGATAAGTTATTTAAGTTTCAATGCATGATTTAATGATATTATCTACTATGGCACTATATTAGCTCTATTGGTCTCTTTTTAAATTTTTATTGATTTCAGAGAGAGGAAGGGAGAAGGAAAGAGATATAAAAACATCAATGATGCTGAAACTGGTTTAGCTCAATGGATAGAGCATCAGCCTGTGGACTGAAAGGTCCCGGGTTCGATTCCAGTCAAGGGCATGTACCTTGGTTGCAGGCACATCCCAGGTAGGGGGCATGCAAGAGGCAGCCGATCAATGATTCTCTCATCGATGTTTCTAACTTTCTATCCCTCTCTCTTTCTCTCTGTAAAAAATCAATAAAATATATTTTTAAAAAAACATCAGTGATGAGAGAGAATCATCCATAGACTGCATTCTTTTTTTTTTTTTTTTTTTTTTTTTTTTTTAATATATTTTATTGATTTTTTACAGAGAGGAAGAGAGAGAGATAGAGAGTTAGAAACGTCGATGAGAGAGAAACATCGACCAGCTGCCTCTTGCACACCCCCTACTGGGGATATGCCCGCAACCAATGTACATGCCCTTGACCGGAATCGAACCCGGGACCTTTCAGTCCGCAGACCGACGCTCTACCACTGAGCCAAACCGGCTTCGGCAATAGACTGCATTCTATACACCTCCTACTGGGGATCGAGCCCACAGCCTGGCCATGTGCCCTGACTGACAATTGAACCATGACATCCTGGTTCGTGGGTCAGTGTTCAACTTCTGAGCCATATCAGTCAGAAAGTGCTATTTGTTTCTCAAAATGTGTCCATTATCTATAGGAGTTGCATGGAAAACTGTGTTTTTTCCTATATTTTTTCCCATCATGATAGTTTTAATTTTTTTTCAAAATAAATTTTATGTCTCCATCTGGAGATTGTTTGTTGTAAACTTTGATGGTGATTTTCTTGACCAATGAAGAAGATCAATAAATGTTTTTCCTATATTGGACCAATTTGTTCATAAAGTGTTGTCCTGATGTGCAGGTTTTAGGAGGACTTTTAAAATCCTTAGGTTTGATTTACCAATTTCCCTTAATATTTATGTAATTTTTGTATTCTCATTGTTATATATTAAGTCAGGCATAGTGTGTCCAGGTTTAATAAAAATGATAATTATTTTGTCATGACAAAGAATTGAATGTTTACATATAAGAGCAATGGGAGGAATGAGGCAACAATGTCCTGAGGAAAGAGACAAAAGAATGAGACAGATATGCTGATCTAGTATAGTTACTTAGAACAATCATCATTTCAAATTGTGCTAAACAAAAATATTACATTTCACACCATATCTGTCAATAGATGAGTGATGCTCCATCTTATTCTGAAAGAAATATGTATACAAGTTTAGAGAAAATGAAAATTCAATAAGCCCTTATATGAATGCAGATCCTATATTAACCTAATTTAAAATGGCGACCTTACATTCATATTAAAGGCTGAAAATGAGAGAGAAAGCAGTCAGGTTAGGTAAACATTTTTAAAGGACAGTACAAAGAGGTAATTTAATTTGTGAAATAAAAGATTTTTATAAATAGCTCAACTTTATAACAGAAAATAGAGAGCTTTCTAATTCAATGAATATTCCATTGGAAAATGAGCTGAACTGTATGAAGGCAAATGACTTGCCATGTCTTTAGGTCAGAAGTGATTCTGAGGCTGGATGTATAGTAAAAGCCAGGGAGCATTACTAGTCTCCCAACATGAAATGAAAGGGTGAACCTTTTTACAGAATTCCAATGATTGAGTTTCCTTAGCTACAAAATTGTCACCAAAATGTAGATAAAATACCCTGAGTACAAAATACTATGAATACTATGTGTAGACTTCTTTATGCTTTTTGTCTGATGCACAATATTTAAAACACTGTTTGACTCAATAATATTTTTGGTATTGCTTGTGAATAAGAGCAATAAAGTTTAATATAATCTCAAAGAGTTAGTTATTTTTAATTTTTTCCAAGTTTTTTTTTTTTCTGTTTGAAATGAAATATTTCTAGCTCAAATAGGTAGTAAACTACTTGGAAATAAACTTTCATCTAAATTACTTGGAAAACAAATGTTGATCTTAGAAGGTAAATTGTGAAAAGTCATTTTGTCACAGGAAGAAGGAATCCTTATGTTACAACTCATTGTCCTGAATAAACTGAAGGAGTCCCATCTATGAGGCAAATCAGCTTCAGGATTTAGAAACAACTACTCCCTTTTTTTCTTCTTTCCTGCCTTGGCAAACTTCTGGTAACAAAAAAGACAACATTTTGTGATGACAAATAAAGCAGTTGCCACACAGGCCAGCAGGAACCCTATCACATCCAGAGAGTGGTACTGGAACCAGCTGAGGTCATGGGAGGCTGGCCGCAGGTGTTTGGCTCCTTTGTGGCGCATGACAAACTCGATCCAGAAGACTGCTCGCTCCAGAGGTTTCATAGGCTGGTCATGATGAATTCTTGACAATCTCATTGCATTCTCTTTATATCTAAAGGAGAAACACAAAGATACCAACATTGAAAGAAAGTTAACTTGCCTAACCAATTCAAACCCATAAAAGGTTTTTGTCCAGCAAATGGTTTAACATAAATACCTTAGAGCTACAGAAGTAGTATTTTTTATTTGGATGTCAGAGAAAGTTTGACTTCTAAATTAAAAATTTCTCATTGAAAAATATTCTAAACAGTGAAGATGAAAAATAAAGTGGAAAAGTTAAAGTATTTTTAGTAAAGGAAGTGATAGAAGCCATTCTATAGGCTATATGTTGGAGAGTGGAATTGTATCTTCTATAATAATAAAAGCATAATATGCAAATTGACCAAACTACCGAACAGCAGAAGGACTGTTAGGATGACCTTCCACATGACCATTCTATTACATGCACTGGTGCCAGGACTGCCAAGGTGGGTATGATACAAATGGTTGGGGGGCCTTGCCATCGCCCTACAATTGCCCCTCAAGGGGAGGCCCAGGTCACCCTATGTGATGTTCCACAATTGATCACTCCAGAGGGAGGCCCAGGCCACCAGCCAGTGACGCTGTGGCAGGTATGCAGGCTGGCCAGCAATCACTCAACAGAGGGAGGCCCTGGCCAGCCAAGTGATAACATTCCTACACCTGTTGCCCACAGAGGGAGGTGACTGGTGGCCGGGGCAGGGGGCAGCACCACACAGATGGCAAGCAGTGGTGGTGGTGGTGGTGGGGCCAGCTACCAGCAGCTGGGGGAAGGAATGCCCCTATAGGCCCTGATCACTGACCAGGCCTGGGAACCCTACCTGAGGGGTCCCAGATTGCTAGAGGGCGCAGGCTGGGATGAAGGACATGGCCCTGTGTACAAATTTTGTGTACTGGGCTTCTAGTATCCTATGTCATAAAAGCCTAATATGCTAAGTGTCTGGTCATCCAGTTGTCCATTCAACCAATCAAAGCATAGTATGCTAATGATATGCTAAGGATGTTCAATGGTTTGCTATGAAGTGCACTGACCTGCAGGGGGCAGATAGTTGACTGGTCGACCAGTTGCTATGAACTGCACTGACCACCGAGGTGCAGATACTCCAACCAGTAGGTTAGCTTGCTGCTGGGGTCTGGCCAATTGGGACGGAGTGAGATGGGCCAGTCATGCCCTGGAGCCCTCTTGCGATCCCTCCCTAGCTGGTCAACTTCCCATGTCCCTCCCCACCCCAATCATGCACCTGTGAGGTCCTTGGCCTAGTTTGCACCCTCTCACAATTGGGACTCCTCGGGGGATGTTGAAGAGCAGGTTTTAGCCCAATCCCATTCAATGCAGGAGCTGACCCCTAGTGGTTAGTGAGCTCCCACAGGGGTAGTGCCACTCAGCCAAAAGCCAGGCTCATGGCTGGCAAGTGCAGTGGGGATGGCAGGAGCCTCTCACTTCTGCAGCAGCGCTAAGGATTTTGACTGATTCTTAGGCCCGCTACCCCTGGGAAGCTGGCCTAAGCCATCAGTTGGACATGCCATAAGGGCTCCCAGACTATGAGAGGGTGCAGGTCAGGCTGAGGGAAACCCCCCCTCCTCCAAGTGCACGAATTTCATGCACCAGGCCTCTAGTTTAGAATAATACTATAGAACAGTGGTTTTCAACCTGTGGGTCACGAGTCCTTTGGGGGTCGAATGACCCATTCACAGAGGTCTCCTTAGACATCCTGCATATCAGATATTTACAATATGATTCATAAGAGTAGCAAAATTACAATTATGAAGTAGCAATGAAAATAATTTTATGGTTGGGGGTCACAACATGAGGAACTGTATTAAAGGGTTACAGCATCAGGAAGGTTGAGAATCATTGCTCTGGAAGTTTTAAAGAGGAATTGTTTCCCTGCAAGAGAAAGGCTTCATCACAGGTCTCTGTATTTCTACTCTTCTCTTTATCACTTTGTCTATTTTTAACCCTATAGCCAAAATACTTTTTTGTTAAACCCAACAGAATACTACCCCTGCTCAAAATTTCTATCTGCTTCCTTATCACATTTAGAATAAAATCCAAATCAATTATTTGCCCTGCTGTACCTTATAAGAACAGACCCCTGGCTACCTCTTCAATCATTTTGTCCCAAGCATGCTCTACTGTAGTCACAATGCTCTTCTAGTTAGCTATTTATTGGAGGTGCCAAATGTGTTCTTTCGTTAGCACTTTAGTACTTTCCGTCCCCTTTCTCCCTTTCCTAGAGCAGTATTTCCTGCAATATTCCAAGGCTGCCTCTATCTCTTGCTGGAGATGTTAGCTCAGTGTCACATCTCAGAGAGATTTTCCCTGGCCATACTATAATAGCATTTCTTTTTTTAAAATTAATTTTTTATTTTTCAAATTTATTGTCTAAAGTTTTACATGTCTCCTTCCCCCCACCTCTTTTACCCCTACCACCCAGCCATTCCCACCCGGGGCAAGATCCCACCATCCCAGTGTCTGTGAATAATAGCATTTCTTCAATGTCTCTGGTTTTCTTCCTCCCCCCCTATTTAATTCCTATAATTTTAAGATACGTTTTATACGACATACCTTCAATTTATGTCTGAAATTCATAAGTGTATGCATATCTAAGTGATCAGCTCAAAATTTCAAAATTATCAATAAAGTTATAAAGTGAACATATCAATATACCCACTATCTCTAGAACCACCCCATGCCTGGGCCATTTTACTACACCCTTCTCCAAATTACCTATTCTCCTGATTTCCAATACCATAAATTAGTTTTTCTTGTTTATATATTAAAATTTTATAGTATGTATTCACTTGTTTTTTCTTTTCTGTAACAGTTATTGGTTAATTCCTTTACTATATAATATTTCATTGTATGACAATACTACAAATTATTTCTCCATTTAATGACAATGGACATTTAGATTATTAATAATTTTTGACTATTACTACTAAAGCTATAAAACATTTTTATATATGTCTTTTAGTTTACATATTTATGCATTTCTGTTTCTATAAACCTAGACTGATGATAACAAGAATTCACAATGATGTAGAGATTTGGAACTCTCAGACATAGCTGATAGGAATGTAAAATGGTACAATCTCTTTGGGCATCAGTTTTTCAGTTTGTCATAAAGTTATTGTATGACCCAGAGTTAATTTGAAGATATCTATCCCCAAAATGAATGAAAACAGAAGTTGATATAAAAACATAATGCTGTATTCATAACAGCCAAATAATTGACAAAAGACCTATTTATAACTACTATTAAAAATATGTGATACTTACGAAGGGTCATTAATGACTGTCTTCAATGCATTGAGCAAATCTGTACTTGAAATAGTGTTGAAGTCCAATCTGACAGCTGCTCCCTTGGTCTTCATGTGAGCAATGTTATCAGGCTGATCCGCAAACATAGGAAGGCCCACCATAGGGATCCCATGGTAGATTGCCTCATAGATACCATTGGCTCCCCCATGAGTTATAAAGGCTTTGGTTTTTGGATGACCTAGGATTGGGTAAATTTCAGCAAGTTATGAATTATAAATCCTGGAAATAAAATGAGAGTTATGCAATAAAGGCACTGTCAGAGGCTATGTATTTAATAACAGATTGGTCTACACATCAGATTGTATTAAAATGTCTTTCAAAACTCATAGGAAGAGGCACCTAAGTCTGTTGTAGAGACAGTGAAGTCTTACATAGAAGATAGGTGTGTTTCTTTTGACTTGAAATGAATACAGGTTGCCAGTGGACAAATGGAAAGAGAATACTCTGTATTTAAAAAGTATATGCAAAAACAAACAAACAAATAAAGTGGTGGTGCATGTTGAAATATATTCTCTTAATAAAATTGTGAAGTCACAGAGTGTGATATGTAGATGTCAAGGCAACAGACAATCGGATGGTGATGGCACAAGAATTAGAGGAAGAAATAGGTACACATTATCATGGAATTTTTTATTACTTTAAAAAGAGATTATTTTTTTCCCAATGGAAAATGTAGTCACTGGTAATAAAAGAGAAGCTGATATTTTTCAAGGGCACCTATAAACCCTTACTGTGGATTAAATGATTGGTGTAAGGAGATAATTAGGAGGCAGAGTGAGACTAGAGAAAGGGCTGAGATATTCTCTCAGAGAGGAATTACACATGAAGTAAAGATCTTTTGTTCATGGTCATAAGGAACATGGCTGTGTAACATAAGATGCCATCTGTTATAGCTTATCCTTTCTCCCTAGGACTGAAAAAAAAATATTGGGAAGTTCAATTTTATTTTCAAGGTTTCCAATAAGAAATGTGCAATACTATTTCTATCCTAGTGAACTGTTTTATCATTCTGATTGACTAGATTCTGATTTTAGGGTTTTCCAGAATCTTACCAAGAAGGTCATTCTGGGGGATCCATTTATAGAGTCGGGTATTTGGCCCTAAGGTATCTGGTTTTTTGCCATCATATCTCCATATAACCTGTTAGGGTAAAGAGAGTTGTGTTACTTGAGTCAAACTGCAGAGTTATATCATGTTAGAATCCTTTCTAACAAAAGAGTAATATACAAATTGACTATCACACTAAGGCACAAGATGGCCACTCAATGTGATCAAAAATGGCTTCCCCCATGTGGACGGACACAAGATGGCCACCACACGATGGCCTGTAGGAGAGGGTAGCTGTGGAAAGTTAGGGGTGACCAGGCCAGCCAGCAGAGGAGGACAGTTAGGGGAGACCAGTTCAGCAAGGAAGGGCAGTTGGGGGAATCCATGCCTACAGGGGAGGGCAGTTTTTGGGGGGGGGGGGCAAAGCCTGAGGGGGAGGGAAATTGGGGGGACCAGGTCTGCAGGGGAGGGCAGTTGTGGGCAATCAGGCAAGCAGGGATGGCAGTTAGGGGTGACCATGCTAGCAGACAAGGGCAGTTGAGGAAGACCAGGTCAACCGACTAGGGAAGTTGGTGCATGGAGGGGCCCAGGACTGCAGGGGAGGGCAGTTGGGGGGGGCGGGCCTGCAAGAGAAGGTAGTGGGGAGGGGTGTAGGTCTGCAGGTGAGAACAGGTGGGAGGGGGCCAAGCCTGCAGGGAAGAGCAGTTGGTGGGGACCAGACCTGCAGGGGAGGGTAGTTGGGAAGGCACAGGCCTGCAGAGAAGGGCAGTTAGGAACCAGCAGTCCTGGATTGTGAGAGGGATGTCTGACCACCTGTTTAGGCCTGATCCCAGTGAATTTCATGCACCAGGCCTCTAGTTCTAAATAAGTTAAGAAACATCTAGCTAAACTCCTGACATATTACAAATAAGAGAATGAAGATAAGACATGTTGATAATGAGAACCAATAAAACACTGATGTAAAAAGCATACATATTCATATTGTGTGTTACTTATTTTTATATTCAGTCAGGTATGTGTGCAATCATGATGTTTCACACTTTGGGGGTTAGACAAGTGAGATTATTAATAACCAATTCAAGCATATAAAATTTTAGGTAATCATATAATTGTAGTACAAAACCCAGAAAGTTACTAATAATTTACATATTTACTTAACCTATTTTTTATACTTGTTCTCAATATCCAGATTTTATGTTAACCTGTTTATTTCTTTTTGAATTATGGGGAAGTGATTTACTTAATTCACTAATTTCATAAATTACCTTATTAGAGTTTTACATTATTTGCTTTACACAATCAATGTAATCAGTTATTTGTGAAAACTGTCACCCTGATATTTAATAGTTTATTAATAATAATAAATAATGTCTGCTTATTGATTATGTTTAGCTTCTTTTAGTTTTCTACTTGTTAATCACCACTTCAAAGAGGTGTTTTACTCAATCCAGTGTTATCACTCTAGCTAGGATTGAAAGTTTCTTAAAATGTAGAAAAGGAAAGCCATTGGACTTTGTAAATAAAAATCTACATGTTGAAAAGATCAAATATGATGATGACGGTAAATTTTATTCAACTGACTGTTAACACTACAAAACATGCTGCAATGTACTGGCAGCATTGATTAATACAGTTAATTCATGATAAATGGCCAAGCAATTTCTAAGTCCACCAGTAAGCTGGATTCTAGTTTGTGAGTGGTTAACATCTTTTTGCTATATGAGTGTTAAAGTTACTTCAGGTTCTCAGCAAATTTGCATAGGTGTTAAGGAGAAAGCTACATTAGTTAGGAAACTAAAAGTATTTTACAATTACACATAGACAATTATATTTTATGTATTAGAAAATATGGTTTACTATTATATTTTTTTGGAAAAGGGTGAGGCATTTTAAATGATCCTATGTTAGGCTTGCTTCTGGTTGACTATTATATTCCCTTCTTCTTCTTAATCGGGAGAAGTCATTATTCTGGTGGGTTGTTTTGGGGCCACATATTATAAAACACTGGGTCACCTTGAGGGCTGGACCCACCTCCACCCTTTCTTTTATGTCTTCCTGCTTCAGAATTTAGCAGGGCCCAGCCCACCAGGGAGATTCTCTTTCCTTTGTGCACACCAGCTTTTCTCTTTCTCTAAATCACGGTGGCTGGCTTAGGTACCTATTGGGTCTAGTAATACTTAATGTCGTTTTTTAACATTCGTTTAAAATCTTGCTTGGCGTTGACTTGTATTGACATAACCTTCAAACACGTGGTATCTACAGAACATGTGAAGTGCAATTAACAAGTTTTGCTTGAAAAAGTTTGTGTTTGGTTTGGTTTTTGTTGCAAAACTAGGGCTAAGAAGATGGCGGATGAAGAGCATATTCGGCACTGCATGCTTTACGAGTTCCAATTAGGAAGAAAAGCAAGTGAGGCTGCAAAAAACATCTGTAGTGCTCTTGGTCAAGATGCAGTTAGCTACAGAAAATGCCAGCATTGGTTTGAGAAATTTCGCGAGGGAAATTTTTCGTTAGATGACAAGAGTGGTCGAGGCCGTGTGTCCAATTTTGATCAAGAAGCTCTTCAAGCTCTTTTGGTGCAAAATCCTCAAATTACCCAACAAGAGCTGGCGACAACTTTAAATTGTTCACAAAAAACAATTTCCAATCAATTGCGTGCACTTGGCAAAGTCCAAAAGTTTGGAAAATGGGTTCCTCATGAGTTGACCGACAACAACCATAATCAAAGAGTCACAATTTACAGTTCGCTCCTCTGTCGTCAAAACCGTTTGCTGTTTTTAGAGCAAATTGTTATTGGAGATGAAGAATGGGTGCTGTATGTTAATTTGAAAAGGCAGCCTCAATGGTTGGACAAAAATGAGGCTCCGCAGCCCACGCCAAAACCTGACTTGCATGCGAAAAAAGTGATGTTGTGTGTTTGGTGGAATTTTAAAGGAATTCTTCATTATGAACTTTTACCATCTACCCAAACCATTACAAGTGCAGTGTATAGTGCCCAATTGGAAAGGTTAGCCCAAGCTTTAAGAGAAAAAGAACCCGTGCTGAGTAATCGGAAGGGCGTAATTCTTCACCATGATAACGCACGACCGCATACTGCAAGAATCACTGCTGAAAAACTGCGCCAGTTGGAATGGGAAGTTCTCCCTCAACCTGCATATTCTCCTGATATTGCCCCTTCTGATTACCATTTGTTTTGTTCTTTGCAAAACTTTCTTCTTGGAAAAAAATGACCGAATTTTTTGCATCAAAATCACAAGAATTTTACCACAGAGGGATTAAAATGCTTCCTGAGCGTTGGGCACAAGTAGTAGAAAACAACGGCAACTATATTGTTGATTAAATTTTGTTGTATTGTTTAAATAAATTCGATTTTAAAAAAGTATTAGAAAACGACATTAATTATTACTAGACTAATAGATGCAGTTTGGTGAGCCCTGGACATTCTTACTCTGAATATCACCTTGTAACACTGAATAGGCATTATTCAAAATCCAGGGAAAGTAAGAGAGACCTAGACTACGTGGCAAATCTAAACTATGATGCATTGCAGACTGCTATCATTCCCTTTTTAATGTTAAAATTTAAGTCCAATCTGAAAACATCTGTAGTGTGTACAGTATTCTAGGAATCCTGCAAGGAAATGAAGCAAATGATAGGATAGGATTTGGTGATATCTGTTCCTGCCCTATAATACATTGTCAAACCAAACTTCACACTGTACTTTTGAAATATACTTCTTTGTGATGAGAATGTTAATGCCACAGTTATTGTCCATCAAAAACATCCTCTGTACTACTTTAGCACCTGACAAGTGTATTTTGTTTTTCAAATTGTTATCTGAGATAATTGAAGCTATCCTAATACTTTACCTTCCATGTAGACATTTTTTAATCAGACCCATTACAGAGTTTAACACACTCATCAGTTTTCTGCTCTAAGGTAGTTTATCTAACCTTTTGTGGAAGCTGGGCAAGGGCTGATGCAATCTCATTGGCTTTCTCTTCTGTCATGTTAGTGACCATCGACCCCAGGGAAAACACCACAATACCATTTTCTCCAGAGCTCTGGGCAAACTCTTCCATTTCCTGTGAAGGAAGAATTTTATTCCATAACAAAAGACAGTAGCATAGTGAACACTATTGAAAGGATTGCTACATACAGCCAAAGAGAAAATTAAGTGTTATAAGGAGTTATTAGTGCAGTTCTTGTGATTTTAATTTGTGTTAAAATGCACATAACATAAAGTTGCCATTTTAAGTATTTAAAAATATTTTTATTGATTTTTAGAGAGGGAGAGAGAATCATCTATCTGCCTCCTGCATGGTAAGGTGGCAGGGTCCACAGTCTGGGCATATGCCCTGACTGGGAATTGAACCAATAATCTTTTGGTGCATGGGACAATGCCTAACCAAGTGAGCCACACTGGCCAGGGACCATCCTAACCATTATTAAATGCAAATATTCTTCTTCTTATGTAACCCATCTCTAAGAATTTTTTCTTTTCTTTTTTAAAAAATAATAAATCTTTATTGTTCAGATTATTACAGGTGTTCCTCTCCCCACTCCATAGCTCCCCTCCACCTGATTCCCAATGCCACCCCATGCCCTTACCCCCACCACTGTCTTCATCCATAGGTGTAAGATTTTTTTCCAATCTCTTCCTGCACCCTTCAGACCCCTTTCCCCCTGTGAATTGTTAGTCCAATCCATTTCTATGTCCCTGATTCTATTATATTCACCAGTCCATTTTTTCTTCAGATTTTTTATTCACTTGATTTTTAGATTTACTTGCTGGTAGGTATGTATTTGATGTCTTTTTGTTGTTCATAATTTTTTACCTTTACCTTTGTCGTCTTCTCCCTCTTCTTAAAGAATACCCTTCAACATTTCATGTAATCCTGGTTTGGTGTTGATGAACTCCTTTAACTTTTTCTTGTCTGTGAAGCTCTTTATCTTACTTTCAATTCTTTGCTGGGTAGAGTAATCTTGGTTGTAGGTTCTTGTTGTTCATAATTTTGAATATTTCTTGCCACTCCCTTCTGGCCTGCATAGTTTCTGTTAAGAAATCACCTGACAGTCGTATGGGTATTCCCTTGCAGGTAACTAGTTGTTTTTCTCTTGCTGCTTGTGAGATTTTCTCTTTGTCTTTTGCTCTTGGCATTTTAATTATGATGAGGTCCTCTTTGGATTCCTTTTGTTTGGGGTCCTAAAGGCTTCCTGAACTTGTAGGTCTATTTCTTTCTTTCCCAGGTAGGGAAAGTTTTCTATCATTATTTCTTCTAATAGGCCTTCAATATCCTGCTCACTCTCTTCTTTTGGCACCCCAAAAAATCCAGATGTTGGTACACTTTAAGCCATCCTGGAGGCTCCTCACACTATCCTCACACCTCTAGATTCTTATTTCTTTTTGCCTCACCGGTTGGGTGATGTTTGCTTCCTTATATTCCAGATATTTGGTTTGATTCTTGGGGCATGTTGATCTATAGTTGAGTTTCTGTATATTCTTTATTTCAGACTTTGTATGCTTAATTTCTGGCTGGTCCCTTTCCATTTTTTGGTATTCTCATTAAGGTCCTTGAAGGTATCACAGAGCTTCTTGGAGGTCTCATCAAGATTCTCAAAGGTTTTTAGAAGATTCTTGAGTAATCTTATAAATGTGATACTGAGCTGTGTGTCGTCCAGTAGTTTACTTTCCTCCATCTCTCCCATTTGTGACATGCTTCTGTGTCTCCTCATTTTGGCTGTCTCCCTGTGTTGATGAAGTGGCATTGTCTGGTCGGTGACCTATAGGGGCCAGTAGTTCAGCTTCCCCAATCACCTGAGGTGGTCGGCTTTGTGGGCTGAGTGCAAAGTCTTGGTGTAATTAAGCCTTGATTGCTGTTTGTACACTGGAAGGAATTGACTCCAGGCAAATTCTCTTTGAGGACCTGCTGTGTCTATAGAGGAAGAACTGCTGCACTGGAGACACGCCTTATTTCAGTGGGGCTTTGGTGCTCACTGAGTCTGTCTCCCAAATGTGTCATCTATGTGTGTGAGGGATTGAAACTGAGCACTGGAACTCTGGCTTCTGGGTCTCCAATGAGGTACAGTTCAACTACTGTCTGAGGTCACCCTGCAGGAGCAACAGCACAAACCACAGTCCTATCCTCCTTGGATCTATTTGCCCCAGGTTGCAAGTTTGCTAAACTACAACAGAGAGGGCCATTCATATGCAAAAGCCACTGCTTGGATCTTGGGTGTGTTTGTAGGTTGTGCGGGGCGGAGTCTCAGGGAGGAGTCTCAGGCTGCAGTCTCAGGGCATCACTAGGTTGGGGTGTGGCCAACAGTGATGGCTGCCTGTCTGCCACCTCTCTGATGGCGTCCTGGCATCCCTGCATCCCTGCATCACCTCCCCATGTCTCACACCACAGCACAGCAAACAATCTCAGCTCTCAAGCAAACCAACCTCACTTTCTGACCTGATGGCAGACAGACTAGCCTCTCCCCGGAAACTGGATTTCAGAGAGACTGGGAGCTTGTCTCTCTTCGGGTTGAAGAAAGTGCCCCCTCCGCCAGCCACGTTCTGTCACCAGCCCTTATCACGTCCGCGCCCCGCTACCTCAGCCTTTCAGCACTTGTGCCCTGAATTCTCCTCTTTCTCTTTTAGTCTAGTTGTAGAGCTTCCTTTCAACCAACTTTCCCTTGGTTTTTGTGTGATAGACGTTTTGTTTTATAGTTGTATTTTTGAAATTGTTCTGCATGGCAGCCGTTTAGGAGTGTTTACCTACACCGCCATCTTCATTCATATATCTCTAAGAATTTTTCACCTTGCAAATTGGAACTGGTAATTATCATTCTACTTTGTTTCTATGCATTTGAGTAGTCTAGATACCTCATTTATTGCCATTCACTCATGCACTAATTGGCTGCTTCTTTTTAAAAAAATATATATATTTTATTGATTTTTTGCAGAGAGGAAGGGAAAGGGATAGTTAGAAACATCGATGAGAGAGAAACATTGATCAGCTGCCTCCTGCACACCCCTTATTGGGGATGTGCCCACAACCAAGGTATATGCCCTTGACCGGAAGTGAACCTGGGACCCTTCAGTCCACAGGCCAATGCTCTATCCACTGAGCTAAACCAGTTAAGGCTCATCTGCCTCTTTATTTAGCCTCTTCTTGATACACTAAACTTGGACTTCTTGGAAATTATTATTATTATTTTTTGCATTACCTTTTGTGTCTTCCTTTCTTTTCATTTCTTTCTGCTACTACTATACAGCCTCAGGTCCCACTTAGTTATCAATAACATAAAATATTTTCTATAATCCCTGCTGGATATTGTCTAGCATTGTGGTCTTTCCTTTTTATACTACTCTTCACACAATTTTTATTACTAATACAAGAGGCCTCGTGCATGGATTTGTGCACCGGTTGGGTCATTCAGCCTGGCCTGTGCCCACTCATAATCTGGGAACCCTGGTGGATGTAGTAGTGTACACAGTGGGAGGAGCCCGGGCTGGGCCCACACTGCTCCTGCGCATTCTGGCTCCCCTCTACCTGCTGCTGCTGCTGCTGCTCAGTAGCGCTGTCATGGAGGAAAGACAGGCTCAAACTATTCAGTTGTGCTCGTCAGCTGTGAACCTGGCGTCTGAAGCCCTTTGGTCAGCTGTACAGCGCTCCCATTGTAGGCGTTCACTGACCACCAGGGGACAGCTCATATGGTGAGCGTCTGCCCCCTGGTGGTTAATGCATATCATAGCGACCGGTCAACCAGTTGTTCAGTTATTAGGTCACTTAGGCGTTTATGTATATAGATTCTATCTTCTAAATAGAATGTTAGGTATTTATGGGTAGGAATTGTGTCTTCACTGTTTCTCTCTTATCCAGTGCTTATCTCTGAATTATGCCAGTCACTTTAAGAATGTATTTGAATGAATGACTGACACTTTCTTATGTGTTCAATAGGGAAGACCTTAATTTAACTGACTCTATTTCCAAAGCCTCCCAAGTATAATTATTTATATGGTAATGATAATGACATTCAGATTCTTGAAATAGTATAAAATGAGTTTCTAAGATCACTTTACCCAGATTCCCATATTTCTCATCGTGTGATCAGATATTTCGAATGAAGAACACAGAGTCATTCCCAATAAAAATTCAAAGCAGAACAAACAGGAATAGTTTTACCTTAGGCAGAGGCTTAGCAGGTTTGCAGTGGAGGCCTCCAACAAATTCAAAATTTGGCAAGAGTGGGTGAGGAAATTCAAAATCCCAATAGCTTCGAATAAGCCACATTTCAGCTTTCCCCATTAACTCAAATAATGTAATGGGTCTTCCTGAAGAGGGGGGAAAAAAGTAGTGAAAATTAGAGTAGTGTAATGTGAATATGCCAGGCAATTTTCTGAAAGGAGCTTAGAGTAATGTAGCCAAAGATGTTTAAAAGTGATTGGCTTACACTGTTTTCAAAACTGCCTGGTACTGGCACAAGAATAGACATATAGAGCCATGAAACAGAACAGAGAACCCAGAATTCTACTCAAGCCATTATGCTCAATAAATATTTGACAAAGAAGGCAAGAGCGTACAATGGAGTCAAGGCAGTCTTTTCAGTGGAGAGTGTTGGGAAAATTGGACAGACACATTAAAAAAAAAAATTAGACCACTAATTTCACAAAAATAAACTCAAAATGGATAAAGGACTTAAATGTAAGATGGGAAACCATAAAAAGTTTAGAAGAATCCATAGGCAGTAAAACATCAGACAAATCATAGCAATATCTTTACTGATACAGCTCCTAGGGCAATGGAAACTAAGGAGAAAATAAAAAAATACATCAAAATAAAAAAGCTTCTGCATAGCAAAAGAAACCATCAACAAAACAATAAGAAAGCCCATTGCATGGGAGAAAATATATGCCAATGTTATCTCCAATAAGGGTTTAATCTCCAAAATTTATAGGGAACTCATACAACTTATCAAAAGGAAGATAAACAATCCAATAAAAAATGGGCAAAGGACTTAAATAGATACTTTTTGAAAGAGGACATACTAAAGGCCAGGAGATACATGAAAACATTCTCAAAGTCAGTAATAATTTGAGAGAAGCAAATAAAAATGATAATGAGATTCTATCTCACACCTGTCAGAATGGCTATCAGCAACAAATTAATAAATGACAAGTGCTGGAGAAGATGTAGAGAAAAAGGAGCCCTCATGCACTGTTGGTAGGAATGCAGACTGGTGAAACCACTGTGGAAAACAGTGCTTATCTATTTCCAAATGGAAATTACTCAAAAAATTAAAATGGAAGTCTCATTTGACCCAGTAATCCCATTTCTAGGAATATATCCCCAAGAAAACAGAAACACCAATCAGAAAGGTCATATGCACCCTTATGTTCATAGCAGCACAATTCACCATAGACACCAAGACTGAGATTAGGAAACAGTCTAAGTGTCCATCAGCAGATGAGTGAATTAAAAAACGGTGGTACATCTACACAATGGAATACTATGCTGCTGTAAAAATAAGAGAACTCTTACCATTTTCAACACATGAATGGATCTGGTGAGCATTATGCCAAGCTAAATAAGCCAGTTGGAGAAAGATAAATATCACATGATCTCACTCATTTGTGGAATATAATGAACAACATAAACTGATGAACAAAAATAGATCCAGAGCCAAAACTGGTTTGGCTCAGTGGTAGAGCTTCGGTCTGCAGACTGAAGGGTCCCAGGTTTGATTCCGGTCAAGGGCATGTACATTGGTTGCGGGCACATCCCCGGTGGGGGGTGTGCAGGAGGCAGCTGGTTGATGTTTCTCTCTCATCAATGCTTCTCTCTTCCTCTCCCTTCCTCTCTGTAAAAAATCAATAAAATATATTTTAAAAAAAATAGATCCAGAGACAGAGAATCATCAAACAGACTGTCAAATTTCTGAAGGGATGGTGGGGGTGGTGTGGTGCATGGGTGGGTAGGTAAGAGATCAACCAAAGCACTTGTATACAGGCATATAAACATAACCAATGGACACAGAAACTTGGGGGGTGAGGGCATATGCTTGGAGTTGGTGGTGGCTGGGGAGAGGTCAGTGGGGGGAAAAGGAGACATATGTAATACTATATGTAATACTTTAAACAATAAAGAATTAAAAAAGATGTCCTTGAATTTGCATCCACAAAAAAGAAACCAAGATGGTGGCATAGGTAAACGCCTAACTGCAGCCTCACACAACAATTTCAAAAAATACAACTAAAATATAAAGTAGACATCATCCAGAACTACAGGAAAGTTGACTGACTGAAAATTCTACAATTAGAAAAAAAGAGAAAACCAGAAGGAAAATCAGAGGAGCTGTAAAAGCCTAAGGTAAGGAGACATAGTGTGCACGTGGGGAGAGGACGGAGCCAAAGAGGAGGGATGGCCGAGTGCCTGGTTGGTGTTCCCTAGCAGGAAAGGAGATAAAAGCTCCAGACTGTGCTAAGCCCTAGTTCTGACTGCACTGAACCCCAGTCTGGGTGAGACCCTGGGGACCCAGGCTCATACAGAGGGAATTTGGGCTATAAGGCAGAAACTCAGGGGAACGGCGAAAGACAGAGCCCCAGAATCACACACATTGCACGCAGAGGATGGACTGTTGACTGTGCCACTGGATTGCCATAGCGGGAAGGAAACAAAAGCTCCGGACTGCACTGAACCCCACTTCCAACTGCACTGAACCCAAGTTCCGGGCTCCTTCGGGGAGAGACTAGACTGTCTGGTAGTGGGAGAAACTCAAGGGCATCTTTCTCTCAGAGGTGCTTGCAGCGAGTACCAAAGGACACTGAGGAACACTGAGACTCAGGAACCTCATAGGGCGGGGCTGATAGGAAGCCAAGGCTGTAGGCTCCACTCTGAAACTCTGCCCCATCCAAGCTGAGCATAGAGGCTTTTGAATAAGGCTGTCTCCTGGCATAGACACAGCTGATCCTCAGAGCCAATTGGCCTGGATGTCAGTTCCTCCCAGTTATACCAACAACAATTAAGACTTAACTACAAAAGGCTGTATATACAGTATACAAAGGGGTGCACCAAGAGTGTCTACCTCAGATAACTGGGAGGCTGACCCCCTGAACCATATAACACACAAAGACACCCTACCAACTCAGGGAAGCGGCAAAAATGCCAAGACAAGGAAACATCACAAATGAAAGAAATGGAGGACAAAAAGCAAGTGGATATAGAGTTCAAAACCACGGTTATAAGGTTTTTCAAGAATTTACTAGAAAAGGCAGATAAAATAAATGAGACCTATGAGGATATGAAAGGGATCAACTAGAAATAAAGAAAACATTGTCTGAAATAAAAAATATTATAGAGTCATAAAAACAGAATGGAAGATCGCAAGTATCAAGTCAAAGATTTGGAACACAAAGAGCCAGAGGACACTCCTCCACAGAAGCAAGAAGACAAGAGAATCCAGAAAGTTGAAGATAGCATAAGAAACCTCTGGGACAACTTCAAGCGAACCAACATCAGAATTATGGGAGTCCCAGAAGATGAGAGAGAGCAAAATATCGAAAACATATTGAAAGAAATAGTGACAGAAAACTTCCCCCACCTGGTGAAAGAATTAGACTTACAAGTCCAGGAAGCGCATAGAACCCCAAACAAAATGAACCTAAAGAGGACCACACCAAGACATATCATAATTAAAATTCCAAGAGCAAAAGACAAAGAGAGAATATTAAAAGCAGCAAGAGAAAAGCAGGTAGTAACCTATTGGATATAAAGGAGCACTCATACGATTGTCAGCTGATTTCTCAACAGAAACCATGCAGGCCAGCTGGAAATGGCAAGAAATATTCAAGGTGATGAATAACAAGAACCTACAGCCAAAAATACTCTACCCAGCAAAACTATCACTCAGAATCCAAGGCCAGATAAAGAGCTTCACTAATAAAAAAAATCTAAAGGAGTTCATCACTGACAAACAGAATTATATGAATTACTGAAGGGGGTTCTTTAGGAAGAGGAAGAAAATAAAGAGAAAAATTATGAACAACAAATATGTAACTATCAACAAGTGAAACTAAAAACCAAGGGAATTACAAAACCTGATGAACAATATTAACTGTTCAATATAATAGAATCAGAGGTATGGAAGGGAGTGAACTGACGATTCTCGGGGAAAAGGGGAGTGGAGGGTGCAGGAAGAAACTGAACATAAACTGTGCATCTATGGATGAGGACACCTGGGGGTTGGGAAAGGGCAGAGGGTGGGGTGGGAACCTGTTAGAGGGGAAAAAAATGAGGAACTTCTGTAATAATATGAACAATAAAGATGTATTAAAAAAAAGATGTCCTTATAACCTCTGTACCATAAATGCATGCACAATCTTTATATTGAACAAGTAAAGACTCTCTCTCTCTCTCTCTCTCTCTCTCTCTCTATATATATATATATATATATATATATATATATATATATATATATATGATTGCATATATATATATATATATATATATATATATATATATATATATATATATGATTGCTTAGCCCTAGTCGGTGTGGCTCAGTTGGTTTAGGGTGGTCCCCTGCTCTGAAAGGTTGATGGTCTGATTTTTGGTCAGGACACATGCCCTGGTTGCAGGTTTGGACACTGCACAGGAGGCAACGGATCAATGTTTTTCTCTCGCCCTGTCCCATCCTCTCATTTTGAAATGAATAAAAACATATTGAAAAGATAAATACAAATAAAAGTGATTGGCTTGAAAATACAGTATATGCACACACATTATTTATATAGACTTTTAACTCTAATTTCACATCAGTACATTCAGAATCATAAACATTTATTTAAGCACTAAAGAATTAAGTACGAATTTGTTTACTTTGTAAAGCTTCAAAATCAATGAATGTAAATGTAAACAGTGATTTCAACTCCTTAGTCAATCAATCCTACCATATACACGGAAATGCCTTTCCCTAGAATACTCAATCTAGATCCTACAATTTAGCAAGCTATTCCCTGTTCTAGATTTTACAAGTAAACTATGATATCTTTGAGAGTATGGCCACTATTGCATTTGGTTATGTTCAGAGTTTAACAATATTTGTATATGAAAAAAAATATTTGCCAAAAACAGTTGGAAAGCTTTCATAAAATATGGAAATAGATGTGCTCACCCTTAATTTTGGCTCATTTTATCTGTAACAAAGAAATATATTTTTCAAAAAGTTTAACTTAATTATCTACCCTTCAACAATATTTTAGGCCTTTAAAACAGATGATTTATAAGCACTTAGTAAAGCAATATAATCATTAGAAACTTTGATTTATAGGTTCCTATCTGAGACAGAGTCATATTTCTCCATCCTCAAAGACTCCTTCAGGTAGTATGGCAACACAGTTTAATTTTTAAATAAGAAAACTAAGGAGAAACAAATAGAAGCAATTTCACCAATGGTCCATAGACATTGTGCTAAAAATATGTAACCCCTTAAATTACATTCGTGTTTTGTTGAAATATTTAGTGAAATTTCTAATGCCTTCATTGAAGATAAAAAATTATAGTAAATTTAATATGTAGGATAAATGGGAATGGCCACTGCCCAGAGGATTTTTAGTTAAATTACTCTTTACAATACTATAATGGTGGATTCATGACATTATAAATTTGTCCAAAAATCACAGAATATACAATGCCAAGAGTGAACCTTAAAATAAATTGTGGACTTTAGATAATAATGTTGTGTCAGTATATTTTCATCAATTGTAACAAATATACTTTTCTGATGGGCAATCTTGACAATAAAGGAGGCAGGACATATATGGGAAATCTCTACTTAATATTGCTGTGGGACCTAATACTCTTCTAAAAAATAAGGCTATTACAAACCAACAAAGAAGAATGGATATGTGATTGCTGAAGGAACTCCTTGGTGCTTTCATTTGGGGTCTCTAACTTCCTGGAGTATCCCATACTAGTGTACCCCAGGGTTCAAACTAGCCTTATAATTTAAGCATTTCTGTGATATAGGGTGTCTCATAAATATAGACACATTTAAATATAGAATAATTATTAACTCCAATGGGTTAAATTTGAAAAGAAACATCAATTGAGTTATCAGAAAAAAAGTGTGTATACATTATTTTTGGGAACTCCTCCCTGTATTTGTGAGATTAAAAGATCATTATATATTACTAGAGGTTCAGTGTATGAAATTCATGCAAGAGGGCTTGGCCCTGGTAGTTGCAGACCCTCACAGTTCCAGGTTAATCCAGAAGGTCATCTGGAAGGATGTCCAGAAAGTTTTTCATCTGTCCGGTCTAATTAGCATGTTATGCTTTTATTATTATATATTATTTAGTCATTTCATTTATAAAAGTCAAATTCCTCTCAATATTTATGCCAACTCATCTTCCAAAGCACTAGGAAAGTTAGGATTTCATGCTACTAAGTAAAAACATAGCTTACCTAGCGCTTTGTTTAGAAATTGATCCCACTACTTCTGATTATATGTTTGCAGGCAGAAGTCAAAATAGAGCACATAGACCATATTTTTTACCCTCTCCATGAATGTTACCTGATCACTTAATTCTGACAAGACAACAGGTACATAGGATGGAGGGAATGGAAGTCCTCCACTGAACTTTTCAATGTTATAACCAGGAGAGAAACGGAGACTGTACACAAAAGGTATTTTAAGTAGCTCAGCTAGCAGCTCACCACAGGTTCCGGCGGCATCTACAAGAACTACATCAAACCTTGATTCTTGTAGTTTTGTCATAAGTTTCTTATTCAAAACAGCATCTTTACAGAGCTTTTCAACCATGTCAGTACCTTCCAAAAACATTTCTTGCAGTAGTGAAAATTTGTCCTAAATATTTTAGCAGATCATATATCATTTATTGATAATCTTCATGAAAAAAGAAACCATATCATCTTTAGTTAAAGATGTAGGAAAAATCTCAAATTGAATAGCACTTGGTTTATTGGGACCAACAAGAATTGAAGCTGAAGATGTCAGAACAGTCACTTCATGACCTCTCTGCACAAGTGCATCCAGGATTGTCTTCATGTTGATCCAATGGCTGTATTCTGTGGGCCACACCAGCACCTTCCCACAGCTCCCAGGGCTGAAGTGGCAACTCAGCTGTAGCAGCAGCAGAACTGAAATCCACTTCCTAGGCATCATGGAGGCACACAGGCTTCTTCTCAAATGGCCGACCCCCTTCCCATGGCTCATGCTTATGTCCAAACGGATATCAATCAGAAAGTTAAAATATAACCCACACACCCAAAGTAAATATATTTGATGAACAATCAGCATTTTATGGCAAGTCATAAAATTATAAAGTAACTAGATGCCTGGTGCACAAAATTTGTGTGTATGGGTGGACTGGTGTTCCTCAGCCCAGCTTCCACTCTCTCCAATCTGGGACCCCCTGGAGGGATGTCTGACTTGACCATTTAGACAGAGATAGGCCAGTAAGACATCCCTCTCACAATCCAGGACTGTTGGCTCCCAACTGCTCACCTGCCTATCTTCCTGATTGCCCCTAACCACTTCTGCCTGCCAGCCTTATCATCCTAACCACTCCCACACCAGCCTGATTGATGTTTAACTGCTTCCCTGCTAGCCTGTTTGCCCCCAACTTCCCTTCTCTGCTGGCCTTGTCACCCCTAACTGCCCTCCCCTGTAGGGTTGATCACCTCCAACTGCCCTCCCCTGCTGGCCATCTTGTGGTGGCTATCTTGTGTCCACATGGGGGAAAGAACTTTGGCCACATGGGGGTATCCATATTGTATGTTTGGAGTGATGGTCAATCTGCATATTACTCTTTTATTAGATAGGATAGAGGCTTGGTGCACAGGTGGGGGCCAGCTGGTTTGCCCTGAAAGGTGTCCCTGATCAGGATGGGGTTCCATTTGGGGCATGGAGCAGCCTGAGGGAGGGGCTGTGGTGGTTTGCAGGGCAGCCATGCCTCAGTGACCAAGCAGAGTCCCTGGTATCTGGAATTTATTTTCCTTCTACAATTGAAACTTTGTAGCCTGGAACAGAGCCAATCCTCCTGCCTGCTCTTTGGCTGCCACCATTTCTGTTTGGATTTGTTTACCTTCTATAATTGAAACTTTTTAGCCTTGAGTGGAGGCCTGGGCCTGCCAGGCTGTGTGGGAAGCTTGGCTTCCTCTGTTGCTGGGGAAACCCAAGCCTCCCTCCTGGTAGCCATGTTGGTTGGGTTTATTTGCATACATGCTCTGATTGGCTGGTGGGTGTGTCTGGTGGGCATGGCTTGTGGGTGTAGTGGAGTGAAATTTAATTTGCATATCACTATTTTATTAGGTAGGATGACCTTATTTTAAATACAAATCTGTGTAATATCTAAAAGTGCTATCATCCAGCTAAGTCAATGTTATAGTTTTCATCTGATTTGTAATTTGTTACAGACTAGAGGTTAGGTGCACAAAATTATTGCACAGCCTGCAGAGAGGGCGGGAGGTTGTCCCTTCTGCCCAAATTGTACCCTCTCCAATCTGGGACCCCTCAAGGGATGTCCAACTGCCAGGTTAGCCCTTATTCCAGGGATTGGTGCTAACCTGGCAGTTGAACATCGCTTTCATAATCCTGGACTGCTGTCTCCTAATCACTCACCTGCCTCCCTGCCTGGTCACCTCATCTACTCCCCACACTGGTCTGGTCACTCCTTAGTGTCCCCCCTGCTGGTCTGGTCTCTCCCAACTGCCCCCCTCTGCTGGCCTGGTCTACCCTAACTGCCTCCCCTGGCAGGTCACACACAATTGTCACCCCAGCCAACCCAATAGCTGCCAACTATCCCCTCTGCCAGTCTGGTTGCCCACAAATGCACCTCCCCAGCTAGCCTGGTCACCTCTAACTACCCCCTCTGCCAGATTGGTTGCCTCTTGTGGGAACCTCCCCCACCCCCTCTTGCCTGATCGTCCCCCAACTGCCCCCCCCCCCTGCCAAATTTCCCCTCTGCTGGCCTGGTTGCCCTGCACAGACTTCTGTTCAGTCATCTGGTCATTCCTCACTAACATTCCTGCAGGTCTGGTCGCCCCACATAGCCTGCTTGTTCAGTTATTAAACCTCAGTAGCACCCCTGCCAGCCTGATTACCCATGCGGCCTCCTTGTTCAGGTGTTTGTTCATCCCTCACTAATCCCCCTGCTGGCCTGGACATAGGCAGCCATTTTGTGGGGGTGTGAGGGTTAATTTGCATATTACATCTTTATAGGATGAATGTCATAATTATGGTTAGAGGTAATTGTGTCTGTAATCTTTTAACAGCAGTGGTTCTCTACCTTTCTAATGCCGCAACCCTTTTATATATTTCCTCATGTTGTGGTAACCCCCAACCATAAAATTATTTTTGTTGATACTTCATAACTATAATTTTGCTACCGTTAGTGAATCATAATGTAAATATCTGTGTTTTCCAATGGTCTTAGGCTCTACAGCAGCTAGAGAATCACTAGCAGGGTCACCTAAGACCATTGGAAAACACAAGTATTTACAGTTTGAATTATAACAGTAGCAAAATTATAGTTATGAGGAGCAATAAAAATAATTTTATCTTGGGGGGCACCACAACCTGAAGAACTGTATTAAAGGGTCACGGCATTAGAAAGGTTGAGAATCACTGTTTTAGAGGGCTGTGAGGAGAATAGAATTAGCTACTGAAACCAAAGTCTTTCAGAAATAGCTCAGTTCTCAATAGGAGACAAATTAGCAGTTGTTATATTTCTCAATCCACATAAGTTTTGAAGGCAAATTAACTTAAACTGGATAAAAGCAAAAGACTTCCATGTCTTTAGATAAGATGTGATGCT